ACAAAAGCACCTAGGCCCTAAGTTCAAGCCCCCGGACCAACACACACACACACACACACACACACACACACACACAGACTGTGAGTCACTGAAATGCTGCCCAGCCCAGGACCCGTGTACAGACAAAGGGATCAGAAACTAGGGATACTGTGTTTTGGAAGATCTCACATCTTCTTCAAAGCTTGGAGCAAAGCTGGAATGGTAGTTGTCTGGACCTCAGGAAAGGGTGGGCCTGGGTGCGAAAGAGGCTTTGTGTTGGATGAATATGAGTGTGATCCCGACTTGGGAGAGAAGAAGATACATACCATTCACAGGGAGGCGGGCATGCGCGTGTGGGGTCGTATGGGATGCCTGGGGCGGCCTGGCCACGCGCATGCGCAAACAGGCACTCCCGGGGTGGCATTGGAGGCTGGCTTCTGTCTCTGCCCTGGTACAGTCTGCTTGTCTCCATGGTGCCTGTTGCCACACACATTTGCTTTTTCAGAAAGTCACAGGGATTGTTTATTCCACCCCCGGGCCTGGGTGCACGCCAAGGAGCTGCAGGCGCTTGTTTATCTTCTGGCAGGGTACGTGTGTGAGTGTGTGTGTGTGTGTGTGTGTGTGTGTGTGAGTGTGTGTCCTAGAGGGAGACCAGCCCGAATTGAGTGAGCACACTCACACGGTGTGGGTGACCAGGTTGTACCCCGGGCCTAGGCAGACTCTTCCCCCAAGATGGACACTTCCCCCATTAATCCTGCAGCCTCTCAAGTTCCAGGAAAGTGTGAAGTTCACCCCCCACCCCTAGAATAAACCACTATACCATCTTGGCCAGCTGGGCAAAGCTACTCAGGAGGCTGAGATCTGAGGATCACGGTTTAAAGCCAGCCCAGGCAGGAAAGTCCATGAGACTCCTATCTCCAATAAACCACCAGACAACTGGAAGTGGCGCTGGGGCTCAAGTGGTAGAGTGCTCGCCTTGAGCTGAAGAGCTGAGGGACAGTGCCCAGGCCCAGAGTTCAAGAAAAGAAAAGATATTGGCCAGACCTGGGTCACTACATACCCACTGACCTGCCCACCATGTAGGCTGGGGAGTCCTGATACCTTCAGAAAGGAGGCCAGGCACTGGGTTCATTTTTCTCTCAGACCTCTGCGAGCCTGGTGTTATATATGGTCAAGGGAGTGTGGCTTTAATCGTGGCCACACAGCTAGTAGGTGGCCAAGTAAACTGTAAACCTACAAGGCTTGTTTCTCTACCTGTTTTAAGTTCCTCCTCTGCCTCAGCCAGTGTTTTGTTCTGTTGCTTGGAGTGTGTGTGTGTGTGTGTGCTGATCCTGGGGCCAGGGCTTCAGTACTTGAATTTAGCACCTCTGTGTTCTAGCTTGGCCTTTTTGTTCAAGGCTGGCACTCTACCGCTTGAGCTATACACCTCTACTTCTAGCTTTTTGCTTGATAATTGGAAGTAAATGTCTCATGGATTAGTCTGCCTGGGCTGGCTTTGAACTGTGATCCTCAGATCTCAGCTACCTGAGTAGCTAGGATGACAGGTATCACACCCAGCTTCTTGTCTAGACTTCTTTGGGGGGGGGGGGTGGAGACTTGAACTCAGGGCCTGAGCACTGTCTCTGAGCTTTTTTTTTTTTTTTGCTCTCTGCCTCATCAGTAGCTAGGAATACAGGTGTGAGCCACCGGTGCCGGGCTGTCATGCGGATTTTTTTTTAATGTCTTTAATCGGAACACAAGAGGTCAGAAAAGATGTAGATAGACAGCGGTGGTGTCTGTGTCCTCCTAGCAGACATGGCCAGAGCTTTGATCGTATTCCCTGAGATGCCCTGACCACTTCTGTGTCACCAACAGGACTTCCAGCAGCCAGGACCTGTATCTTGATCAAACAGATGCTTCCACGCTGCCAGATCCCATTTTTCCCCCTCAGAAATTACCTAGAAATGGACAAGCAGACCATGCCATATACTACGAGGATAACCTTTGAGCAACATTGAACCCAGGAGGAAAACTGCAGCTCCCTGGCCTAGGGGCCAGAGGAGGTCTGAAGTGTGCCTTTGCCCATTCTCCAAGACTTCCCTGCATAATTAAACTCCATCCACCCGCAGTGGGAGTTGGCTCGAAGTCTGCCTCCCATTGGCTGCCTTTCCCTCAACCCCCCCTGCTGGTGTCCTTACACTTCACAAATAAGCCACATGCCCTCCAGCTTGGCTGGGGTTCTGGATCTCACCTCCTTCCCGCTACCAGCCCTGCCTGCATGCCCCCCCTCCATGGTGATTCCCTCCCTGCCTCCTTTCCTCTGTCCCCTCCACCCCTGCAACTTCCTTGTTATCTTTGGAGTCCTGAGCAGACACAACAGACCCGACCCGTTTTTGTCCTCCTGAAGCCCTTGACCCGACCGTCTTTCAGGAATGTTCTTTCTCTCTGGCTTCCGAAACACCACATCCTCCTGGGTTTTCTCCTGGCTTCTCCTGTTTCTGGTTCTTCTTTGGAGCTTCCTTCTGAGCCTGATCTCAGTTCCAGCGTCTTCTCCCTGTGGAGTTCCTATTCTTCCCCAGGCCTCACACAAGTCTATCACCGGCTCAGCTCAGGGGCTTCCTGATCTGTCTCCAACTGCAGCCACTAAAGAGCTAAGCTCAGTGGTAGAGCGCTAGCCTTGAGCTGAAGAGCTGAGAGACAGCGCCCAGGCCCAGAGTTCAAGCCCCACGACTGACAGACAAAAACAAAAAACCAAAACAAAACAAAAAAACAGAAGTGGAGCTGTGTGTGAGTCTTGAGTGCAAAAGCTCAGGGACAGCACTCAGGTCTTGAGTTCAAGCCCAGGGCCTAAGCAAACACACACACACACACACACACACACACACACACACACACACACACACACACACACGAGGCAAATCTGACTCCTCCATTTTCCAGGGTGTGTGTGTGTGTGTGTGTGTGTGTGTACTGGGGGTTGAATTCAGGGCCTGGGCTCTGTCTACCACTTGAGCCTCGCTTCTACTTCTGGCTTTTGGGTGGTTAGTTGGAGATAAAAGCCTCCCTGTCCCGGTTGGCTTCAAACCAAGATCCTCAGATCTCAGTCTTCTAAGTAGCTAGAACTACTGTCGTGAGCCACCAGCACCTGGCTACTGTCCATGACCTGTGAACTTACCCCTCCCTCAATTGCTCTACCTGTAGCATGGAGCCATAGTATACCTCGAAGGGCTGGATTGGGAAGGAAATGATAAATGCCGACTAGCACTTGCAAACTCTGAAGAAAATGCCCTCACGGGCAGCAAATGGACCATTTTCAGCACTAGAAATGAGCCGGAGGCCCTGGGGTGCTGTCCGCGGTGCTGAAAATTGGTGTCTGTGGTTTTTCTTCTCGCTCCCTCCCTCCTGCTGTCTAGAGATGCCAACACCACAGGTTTTCAATCACTTGCTATCTAGATTTTTTTTTTTTAATTTTAATGTCATGGTGGTTTACAGGTCACCAGGTGAGATTTAAGACTAAAGCCTAAGGGTTAAGTTTGAGCTTGTAGGAGTAAAACTGCGTAACTTTCCATAGGTCACATTTTTTCTGTGTCTGTTTTGTGTGTGTGTGTTTTGAAAAATCTGGCTATCACACATTAATATCCACTTGCTTTTGACTGCTTGGAAGTTTAAACTAGGTGAGATCTGTCCATGAAGACTCGGCAGTATCTCGGGGGCCTAAAATAAGAGCTCCATTAGCCAGGCGCCCCGTGGCTCACGCCTGTCACCGTAGCTCCTCAGCAGGCTGAGATCTGAGGATCGTAGTTCGAAGCCAGCCTGGGCAGCAAAGTCCATGAGTCTCTTATCCCGCCTTGAGTGAAGGTAAAGGGACTAGAGCCAGGCCTTGAGTTCAAGCCAGGGAGTGGGGGGGGAGAGGGAGGGAGGGAGGGAGGGAAGGAGGAGGGGGAGAGGAAGAGGGGAAAGAGGGGGAGAGAGGAGGGAGAGGGGGAGGGAGAGGGAGGAGGAGGAGAGGGAGAGGAGAAGGGGGAGGAAGAGGGAGGAGGGGGAGTAGGAGGGGGAGGAAGAGGGAGGAGGGGGAGGGGGAGGAAGAGGGAGGAGGGGGAGGAAGGAGGGGAGTGGGAGGGAGAGGAAGAGGGAGGGGAGGGGGAGAAGGAGAGAGGGAGGAGGAGGGGGAGGGAGGAGGGGGAGGGAGAGGAAGAGGAGGGGGAGGGAGGAGGGGAAGGGGAAAAGGGGGAAGAGGGGGAGAGAGGAGGGAGAGGGGGAGGGGAGAGAGGAGGAAGAGGGAGGAGGAGAGGGAGAGGAGAAGGGGGAGGAAGAGGGAGGACGGGGAGTGGGAGGGGGAGGAAGAGGGAGGGGAGGGGGGAGGGGGAGAGGGAAAGAGAGAGGAGGAGGAGGAGGGAGGAGGGGGAGGGGAAGAGGAGGAGGAGGGGAGGGGGAGGAAGAGGGGGGAGAAAAAGGGGGGAGAGGAGGGGGAAGAGGGACGAGGGGGGAGGGGAGGGGAGGGGAGGGGGGAGGGGAGGGCACTCTGGGGATACCCCGTTGTTCGGCAGGTGGATTCACAGCCAGGCGCCAGCCAAGGACAGTCCCGGGGTTGCTTTCTCCCCCGTGGACACCCCTCCCCGAGCCCGGGCTCGGGTCCCACGTCCTCCAGCGGGAAACTGAGGCCGGCTCGCGGGTGATGGAGATCGGGGGTCCCGGCCGCTCGCAGCCGCGTGGGCAGCGGGCAGACAAAGGCCGGGCTGGGCAGGGGAGGGGCGGGGCCGGAAGTGCGGCGGGGGGGGGGGGGAGGAGAGGAGGCGGGAAATTTCCTGGAAGTGGGGAGCGGGCAGACCCGCCACGCCGGGCGCCGCCCCCCACCCCGGGCTCCGGGCGGGGCGGGGCGCTGGGCGGGGGCGGAGCCGGGGGCGGAGCCGCGGGCGCGCGCAGGCGCGGGCCGGGCCGGGGGCGGGGCGCGGGGCGCGGGGCGGAGCCGGGGGCGGAGCCGCGGGCGCGCGCAGGCGCGGGCCGGGCCGGAGGCGGGGCGCGGGGCGGAGCCGCGAGCGCGCATGCCCGGGGCGGGGCGCGGGGCGGGGCGGGGCGCGGGGCGGGAGCGCGGAGCCGGCTCCGGGGACGGCGGCGGCGGCGGCGGCGCCCAGGCCGCTGGGGTGGCGGCGGCGGCGGCGGGAAGCGGAGCGCGCCCCGCGCCGAGGAGCCGCAGCAGCCGGGTAAGCGCCGCGCCCCGCGCTGCCCTCCGGGCGGGGGGCCGACCCACCGACCCCGGGGAGGGGGGAGGAGAGGGCCCCCCGCGGGCGGCCGCCGGGGTCCCCGGGGCCCCCCCCCACACCCCACCCCGGGCGGGGCGGCTCCCCCGGGGCGCCGCGCGGAGGCCCGGGCGGGAAGGACCGGGCACCGCGTCCGGCCTCGCCGCCGCCGCCCGGGTGCTTTGTTCCGCGCGCGCGGCGGGGCGGGGAGGGGGGGGGGGGCTTCCCGCCACCGGGGGGTGGGGGTGGGGAGGGGACCCCCCCCGGCGTCGATCACCTCCCCACCCCCCCACGCCGCGCTCGAGGGGCGCCCCTGGCACCCCAGGCGGCACGCCCGCCCGCCTCGCCCCCCCATCCGGGGCGAGGCCACAGGTCCACACACACGCGCGCGCGCACGCGTGCACACACACGCCACGGCGCATCCACGCGGCCACCTGTGCACCCACCCGGCCCACCGAGGGGGAGCCTCGCGCCCCCGGCCCGGCCCAGCTGCGCACGTCCACCCACCACCCCGGATGGATGGCAGCGGACTCCGCGCGCCCCCGGGGCCCCGGCAGCCCTTAGGCCCCCCGGGGGTCAGCCGTCATCTCCGGCCCCCCACCCCACCCCGGCCCCAAGTTCGTGCACACACACACACACACCCCTCACACCCCAGATCTCACCCGTGGATGGCTGGAGATGGGCAGGTGGTCCTCCATCCGTCCAGGAGAGAGAGGTTGTTGGCAGGTGCGGCTGGAGCTCTGAGGGGTGTGTGTGTGAGTGTGTGTGTGTAGGAATGGCTGCTTCAGACTGGGAAGCAATCGTAGAGGGAAAAGGAATGGGCTAGCCTGCTCCCTGTGCGGTCCTCCAGGCTGCTCTGCCTACCAGCACCGGTGTGCTCTCCCCGGACCCATTTGTGCTTGCCCCGGGTGGCCCCGGAGTCTCCTTCACACACGGCTTCTACAGATGCATGCCAAGTGAGGGGTGTGTGTGTGTGTGTGTGCACCAGTACTGGGGCTTGACTTGAACTCAGGACCTGGGCACTGTCCCTGCGTGTCTTCTCTCCAGGCTAGCACTCTGCCACTTGAGCCACAGTGTCACTTAGGGTCTCTGGGTAGTTCATTGGAGATCAGAATCTCACCGACTTTGCTGCCCAGGCTGACATTGAACTGAGATCCAGGCGGAAGGGGGCAGCCTGGGGGGAGGGGGGTGTCAGTTTCCTGAGTAGCAAGGATTACAGACGTGAGCCACTAGTTCCAGACAGACACACCAGGCTATCTTGAGCAACACGGGCAAGAGCCCAGTTCTGGCCACAGGCTAGCTCAGGCTCTGCAAATCTGCACACACACACACACACACACACACACACACACACACCTACTTTTGCCTCCTTGGTACATCAGGCAAGCCGGCCAGAACTCTGAAGAAGTCATTCCAACCTCTCCCTCAACTAGGTCCTACTGACCTGCCCATGGGGAAGGATGTTCTTACAGGAGGGCAAAGCAGACTGGGATATACTTGCTCTTTCTACTGCATGTTCCTCGCTGCTACTGAGCTCACATTACAGAAAGGGGTTTTCTCTTGTTTTCATTTTGGTTCCAGCACCGGGGTTGGAACTCATTGCCTCCCACTCTTACTTGGCTTTTTCTGCTCCATCCACGAGCCACAACTCTCCTTCCGACTGGTCAATTGGACCTAAGAGTCTCACAGACTTTCCTGCTGGGGCTGACGCCCAAATTATTCTCCTCCGATCTCAGTCTCCTGAGGAGCTAGGATTCCAGGCGTGAGGCACCACGCTCTAGAAAGGAGGTTTGAAGAGCCAAGATTATTAGTGTCCAAGATCCTGGCTGAAATAAGCCTGGGAAAAAACACCAGGTCTGGGCTCAGACATGACTGGCTTTGATGCCCAGCTGCCCCTCCCCGCAGCTGCACGGCCCTGTCCGATCCTCGTCCGTGGAACGGAGATATAATTCCTGCTTCGGAGATTGCTGTCTCTAGTGGGTGGGTTGGCAGAAGGAGGGGCGGGGAGGCTCTAAGGCTGGGCCTGCAACTTTGTGAGGCAGGGACTGGAAGACAGTTTCTTCCAATCTCCAGAAGGGGGCCTGGTACCCCTGCGAGCCGATTCTGCTCTGGACACATAGTCCCCATTTCACAGATTGGGAAACTTAAGACTCAGAAAGTGGAAAAATCCACCCTGAGTCCCAGAGCTAATCGATAACCGAGCTGGGGCTCACAGTGCTTACTCTGGACCTGACTGTCTCAGAAGCCAGGTATACGGGTGGCTCCTGCCTATCATCCTAGCTACTCAGGAAGCTGAGATCTAAGGATCACGGTTGGAGGCCAGGCAGAAGAGCCCATGAGACTCTTTATCTCCACTGGCAAAAAGCCAGAAGTGGAGGTATGGCTCAAGCGGTAGAGCACCAGCCTTGAGTAGGAGGATGGAGTCAAGTAAGAGTTTAAGACTCCCCCCCCAGCTGTTCATGCTGCAATACAGGCACACACGTAGGAGAATATTACCTGTCTGCTATGTGTGCAAACTCTGCACACAAGTAGCACTTGACTTGCACAAAGGTCACATGCAACCTTTATCGGCCTTAGGTCAGAAGGTAATGCGTGAAGGGCCGGCGATGGGTCATCTCCGCCGGATCATCTCAGTGTACGAGACACATTAGGGATGGCTGATCGCGCTTATGTTGGACAGGTGCCCTAATGCCCCAGATTCGTGTTCTGGTCGAATCTAGAAGTCCAATTCTCACGCGAAATCTTATATTCAAATATTGATCGGTTTGCTCCTTTATTTAACATTGACTTGTAAAGCATCTCCAAAAGGCCCGATTTGGCTGTTTTGAGTTTTTGGGGGTGTTTTTGTTTTTTTGTCTCTGTCCCAGGCCCTTCCCTGCTCTACCCCTCCCCCCCCTCCCACCCTCTCCTAGGAGCACAGCTGGGATCTGGCAGGCGGAGTAGATAAAAACAGGCCTCACATGTACACAGCCCAGCCCTAAAGTGAGTTGAGCTGAGCCACGCACACCCCACATCTTAAATCTTACAGCAGCCTGGTGGGGGGTGGGGGTAGGGGAAGGGTTCTTTGGGGTTCTTTGTTGGTGGGACTGGTGTGTGGGGACCCCAGGACAAGGCTACTAGGGCTGACATGAGGGGACTGAAGATCCAGAACAAACACCCCTTCTTTCACAGATTCCCCCCCCTCCGGGCTGTTTCTTCTTTTCATCTGCCCAGATGTGGTATAGACCAACCCCAAGGATGAGATGATTGCACGGTACAAGCAGGTGACCTCAGAGTCAAAGCTGGCCAACAGAACATTCATTTTGTTTAGCCTTTTAAAATTGATCCTAGCCTCGGCACCAGTGGCTCACGCCTGTCATCCTGGCTACCCAGGAGGCTGAGATCTGAGGATCACGGTTCCAAGTCAGCCTGAGCAGGAAAGCCCATGAGACTCCTATCTCCAATGAACCACCAGAAAACTGGAAGTGGCGCTGTGGCTCAAGTGGTAGAGCGCTCGCCTGGAGCTGAAGAGCTGAGGGACAGTGCCCAGGCCCAGAGTTCAAGCCCCATGACTGGTGGCTCACACCTGTAATCCCAGCTACTCAGGAGGCTGAGATCTTGAGGATTGAGGTTCAAAGCCAACCCAGGCAGGAAAACCTGTGAGACTTTAATTAATCACCAAAACCCTGAAGTGGCTCGGTGGCTCAGAGTAGTAGAGCACTCACCTTGAGCAAAAGAGCTCAGGGACAGCAAACACCCAGGCCCGGAGTTCGAGCCCCACCATGACCAAAAACAAAAACAAACAAAAAATTGAACTTCGCTGGATGCTGATGGCTCATACTAGGAATCCTAGCTACTCAGGAGGCTGAGATCTAAGGATCATGGTTTGAAGCCAACCTGGACAGAAAAGTCCATGAGGCTTTTATCTCCAATTAATCACAACAAATAAATAAAATAAGCTAGAAGAGGAGCTACGGCTCGAGGTGTATCGAGTGCCAGCCTTGAGTGAAAAAAATCAAAAGGACAGCATCCTGAGTTCAAGCCCCAGAATATCTGTCTTTAAAAAGAAATCCAGATTTCTGGCTTTGCTTGGTAAATTAGGAGGCCCGCCACATTCACTTCTGGGCTTAAAACACTCCTGGGTTTTCCAGTATCCATAGGACTGGCCATCTATTCCTCCCCCCAGGCCTCTCCTGATTGGCTGCTGCTGGCCCCTCCCCTTTTTCTTCTCTCCCCCCCCCCTCCTTTGTGGGGAGGTAGCATCTAGTATGGGGAATGTTGCATTATTTTCTTTGCTCCTACTTTATTGCCTACCCTCTACCCAATCACACTCCCTGCTTTTTCCTAACCCACAGAGTGGTACCCAGGAGGTTGCATGAGTGCCCAGTGTGTGTTGTTAATGGACAGATACCTCCAGTTTGCCACACACACACACCCCAACTCCTCTCTCTTCCCTCCCTCCCTCTGCGGATGTCAGGAGGCATTAATCCGCTCCCTTGTTCTATTGTTTTTCTTTTCCTTTTCTCTTGGGCTGGTCCTGGGGCTTGAACTTGAGGCCCAGGCGCTGTCCCTTAGCTTTTACATTCAAGGCTAGCAACTCTACCTCTTCAGCCACACCCCCCACTTCCAGCTTTTTGCTGGAATTAATTGGAGAAAAGAGTGTCATGGACTCTCCCTTTTTAGTCTGGCTTTGAACTGCAATCCTCAGATTTCAGCCTCCTAAGTAGCTAGGATGACAGGTGAGAGCCATCGGTCCCTGGCTAAAAGATTTCGATTTTGATCATTTTAAAAAAAAAAAAAAAAGGCAAAACCAATGAAAGCAAGTTTCCTGTCAATAATGTGCTGACTGCATCCATACACTGGCAGTTCCATGGTCCCTAGATGCAATCTCAGAGTTGGGGTCCCGCAACACATCGCAGATATCTGAAGAAAAATAACCCAATCTTAGACAGGCGCCGGTGGCTCACTCCTGCAATCCTAGTTACTCAGGAGACGGAAATCTGAGGATCATGGTTCAAAGCCAGCCCGGGCAAGGAAAATCCGTGAGACTCTGATCTCCAGTGAAACACCGGAAGACCGGAAGTGGCGTTGTGGCTCAAGTGGTAGAGCGCTCGCCTTGAGCTGAAGAGCTGAGGGGCAGCGCCCAGGCTCTGAGTTCAAGCTCTATGACCAACAAGAGAAGAAGAGGGGGAGGAGGAAGGGAGGGAGGGAGTCCAGGGTGAATCTGGAGTATCTAAGGCCATGAAGAAGAGTTGCTTGGAGACCCAACTACTTGTTGGACTTTCTTCAAACTCAGTTCACCCCATCTCCAGCACTGCTACCCAGCAACCCTTGCTCCAGCCAATACCCTTCAGGTCACCCTGGCCATCACCCACTATAGCCAATTGCCCTCCCCTCCCCCACCTCCATTCCTTTTCTTTCCTGTCTCAGTGCTTGCTGCCTGCAATCCCCACCCCTGCACGACCTTATAGCAGGACTATTGCCAGTGCTCCCAGCCTGTTGTAGAGGGAGCCGCGTGATGGATGAAGGATCCCTTGAATAGGAGCTTGAATGCATGCCTGAGCTGCTTCCACCTCGGGCCTGGCCAGCCCCTCTTCCTCCAGCCAGGCCTGCAGGTATCCGTGGCCTACCTTGACCAGACACCATCCACGCAGGCATAAATGGGTGGCCTACTGTTTCCTTTGGCCCACTTAAGTGTTTGGGCTTGTTATTTTAAATCTTGGATTCATTAGCATACATATATATATATATATATTTTTTTTTTTTTACATTAAGGTCTAGATTTCCCACTTCTCTCAAGACACTTAGGAGAGCAAGTTTGAGCACTGTAGCTCGCGCCTGTAATCCCAGCTACTCCAGGATGCTGAGAGCTGAAGGTCGTGGTTTGCAATCAGCCAGGCAGGCCGACAGGTCTGTGAGATTCTTAGGTTCCCGTGAACAAGCAAAAAGCCGGAAGTAGAGCTGTGGCTCAAGTGGCGGTGCACCAGCCCTTGAGTAAAAACAGCCAAGTGAGAGCCTGAAGCCATGAGTTCAAGCCCCTGTACTCACACACACACACGCACACACACACACATCTTCACAGGATCAAGATAGTGACGTGGTTGGATTTGTGTGTTCAACCCAGTGCCCCTGTGGACAGGAGCGCTTGGGCTGCTGGGAGAATCAGGATTGAGACCATTCCCCACCCAGTCTCCTCCTCTGAAGCCTGAACGTGTCCTTTCCCTGTGTTTCAGAACTGGACGGCAGCCGTGGTCTCGAGCATGGCCGCGAGCGTCGATGGACAGCGCTAAAGATCCAGCCTGGCTCCAGCCTTCCCGGGTCCCTCGGCTCCCCGCAGGATGGGAGGCTGGGCACTGGGCACCTGGCCATGAAGGATCACAGCGCCTCTCAGCCCAAGCCCAGCCCCTCCCCGCTCAGGGATACCCCTGATCAAAACCCAGCCATGGACTCAAGACCCAGCGGCCCCAGTGGGGTTGAGGAAGGGGCCCTCTGCTCTGAGGGTCCTTCTGGGGGCATGGCCTGTCCTTCTTCTACCTGCACCCCTCCCCCAGGACCCACCACCAAGGAGATCCTGGCAGCAGATGCCGCCTTGGTCTTAGGGAGCCCAGAGACTGCTTTGGCTGGGCTGCCAGAGTCCAGGTCCCCCGTGAGCCCTGTCCCCACCTCCTCGGAGAACAGAAACCCCACGTTCTTGGAAGAGATGGATTCTAAATCCTCCACGCAGGCACGCCCTGCTGCCATGGGGAAGGAAGAGTCTGAGTTCTCCAAGGCAGAGCCTCTGTTGATGGAAAAGAGTGAACCTGCTGTCTCTACTCCGAGCGATGCTTCTGGAAGGATGGGCTCTCCACATCCCAAGAAAGAGGAGCCTGAATCAGTGGGAAAGGCAGATCCTGGATGCACCGGCGAGGTAGACCTGGTGTCTCCAAGCCACCAGGGCGGCTCTGAGTCTTTGCAAAAGGTGGGCGCTGTGTTTCCAAGCAAGGAGCAGCCTAAGCCCCCCCTATCTTCAGAGGAGATGGTCCCTGCTCCAACGAGGAAGGAAGATGTCATGTCTTTGGGGAAACACGATCCGGGACACCCTGCAGAGGTGAATCCTGCGTCCTTAGGAAGTACCGAACACACATGCACAGGAAAGACCCAACGCACAGCCACAGGACAGACAGGAGATTCTGGACTCTCCGGGAAGCCTGAATCTTCTGGAATAGGGGATCCTGAGCCCACCAGAAGGGTGGAGGATACCAAACACTTGAGATCTGCAGCACCTCCATCTCTGGGAAATGCAGAAACCAGGTCCCCCACAAGAGAGGACTGTGGGTCCCTGGGAAAGGGGAGCCCCACCTCCTCAGGAGAAGGACATCTCGTACCTGTGAGGCTGACCGCCGCTGGAGAGATGGATCCTGGGAAAGACCCCACATCTGCCGTGAAAAGTGGGGGGTCTGGACCTTGCGGTGAGCCAGGCGCTGTCTCCTCGGGAGAGGTGGAGGGGCTGGTGTCCCCAGGAAAGCCACCCCAGCCCTCGTCTCCAGGACAGGCAGAAGAACGGGGGTGGGCAGTGGGAAAGCGGGGGACCACTGACCCTTCGGGGAACCCCGAGTTTCCTGGGAGGGCGGAGCCCACGGCAGCCCTGGGAAATGTCACAACGTCGTCGTCGTTGTCATCATCTTCTGGCAAGGCCAGGCCTGTGTCCTCGGGTCCTGGGGGACCCCGATCCCCGGGGACAGGGGGTCCCCCGTGCGCTGTCGAGAACATCCCAGGGCCGGAAGGGAAAGCGGAGCCCCGGGCCTCGGCCCCGTCTGGAGACCCCAGGAACGCCACGACGACGCCCAAGGAAAAGGGGGGTCCCCCGCTGACCCCCGACATCCAGGGGGACCCCACCACGGAGGAGGCGGAGATCGGGGCCTCCGGGAAGGCCCAGCCCGAGGCCGGGGACCCTCCGGCCGCCCAGCGCCCCGGGCAGGAGCGCACCCCATCTTCCCAGCCGCGGGGGGCGGCGGGGTCCCCCGCGTCCCCGACTCCCGAGAAGGAGCGGCAGCCCGCGGGGCCTCCGGGATCCACAGACTCCACGACGATGACCACGGGGCCGCGGACCCGGGACAACTTCACCAAGGCGCCGTCGTGGGACGCGGGAGGCTCGCCGCCGGGCCCCGCGCGCGAGGACGCGGGCACGCAGGCCGAGGCGCGCGCCTGCGTGTCGGTGGCCGTGAGCCCCATGTCCCCCCAGGACGGCGCCCCGCCGGGGACCCCGGCCTTCAGCTTCCAGGGCCCCCCGCGCCGCCGGGACGCGGGGCTGCAGGTGTCGCTGGGCGGCGCCGCCGCCATCACCGAGACGCGGTCGGTGGCCACGGGGCCCATGACCCCGCAGGCCGGCGCGCCGCCGCCCGCCGCCGCCGCCGCCTTCCCCGAGGTGCGCGTGCGGCCCGGCTCGGCGCTGGCGGCCGCCCTGGCGCCGCCCGAGGCCGCGGAGCCCGTGCGCGACGTGAAGTGGGACGAGAAGGGCATGACGTGGGAGGTGTACGGCGCCGCCATGGAGGTGGAGGTGCTGGGCCTGGCCATCCAGAAGCATCTGGAACGGCAGATCGAGGAGCACGGCCGCCAGGGGGCCCCCGCGCCGGCCCCCGCCGGGGTCCCCGCCGTCCCCGCCGCCGCCGCCGTCCCCGCCGCCCCCCGCGCGGGTCCCGGCCGCGCCGGCTCCGTGCGCAGCGCGCCCCCGCCCGAGCCCGAGCCCAAGCGCCCGCCCGGCCTCTTCCGCGCGCTGCTGCAGAGCGTGCGCCGGCCGCGGTGCTGCTCGCGGGCCGGGCCCACGGCCGAGTGACCCCCCCCCCCCCGCCCCACGTTTTCTACGCGCGCCCCCGCCTTCACCCCCGGGGCTCGGGAGGGGGCGCCCACGGCCTCAGGCTCCCCAAGGCCCGCAGCCCCCACCCCACACACACACACCCCGGGCCTGTAGCGCCCCGCCCCGCCCCCTCCAAACGCCTCCCCTTAGTCTAGAGGAACCCCAGAATCCACCTTCACCCCCCCTCCCTCACCGCGTGCTCCCCACAGACCCCTCCATCCCCCCACACCCCTCCATCCCCCCACACACCCCTCCATCCCCCCACACCCCTCCATCCCCCCCACACCTCCATCCCCCCACACCCCTCCATCCCCCCACACCCCTCCATCCCCCCCACACCCCCCATCCCCCCCACACCCCTCCATCCCTCCATCCCCCCACACCCTCCATCATCCCACACCCCTCCATCCCCCACACACCCCTCCATCCCCCCCACACCCCCTCCATCCCCCCCCACCCCTCCATCCCCCCACACCCCTCCATCCCCCCACACACCCCTCCATTCCCCCCACACCCCTCCATCCCCCCACACCCCTCCATCCCCCCCACACCCCTCCATCCCCCCCCACACCCCATCCCCCCACACCCCTCCATCCCCCCCCACAACCCTCCATCCCCCCCACACCCCCCATCCCCCCCACCCCTCCATCCCCCCACACCCCTCCATCCCCCCCACACCCCCCATCCCCCCCACACCCCTCCATCCCCCCCACACCCCATCCCCCCACACCCCTCCATCCCCCCACACCCCTCCATCCCCCCCACACCCCTCCATCCCCCCCACACCCCTCCATCCCTCCATCCCCCCACACCCTCCATCACCCCACACCCCTCCATCCCCCACACACCCCTCCATCCCCCCACACCCCTCCATCCCCCCCACCCCTCCATCCCCCCACACCCCTCCATCCCCCCACACACCCCTCCATCCCCCCACACCCCTCCATCCCCCCACACTCCTCCATCCCCCCCACACCCCATCCCCCCACACCCCTCCATCCCCCCCCACACCCCTCCATCCCCCCCACACCCCCCATCCCCCCCACACCCCTCCATCCCCTCCACACCCCATCCCCCCACACCCCTCCATCCCCCCACACCCCTCCATCCCCCCACACACCCCTCCATCCCCCACACCCCTCCATCCCACCCCCCATCCCCCCCACCCCTCCATCCCCCACACCCCTCCATCCCCCCCACACCCCTCCATCCCCCCCACACCCCTCCATCCCCCCACACCCCTCCATCCCCCCCCCACACCCCTCCATCCCCCCCACACCCCTCCATCCCCCCACACACCTCCATCCCCCCACACCCCTCCATCCCCCCCACACCCCTCCATCCCCCCCACACCCCTCCATCCCCCCACACCCCTCCATCCCCCCCCACACCCCATCCCCCCACACCCCTCCATCCCCCCCACACCCCCATCCCCCCCACCCCTCCATCCCCCCACACCCCTCCATCCCCCCCACACCCCTCCATCCCCCCCACACCCCTCCATCCCCCACACACCCCTCCATCCCCCACACACCCCTCCATCCCCCACACACCCCTCCATCCCCCCCACACCTCCATCCCCCCACACCCCTCCATCCCCCCCACACCCCTCCATCCCCCCCACACCCCTCCATCCCCCCCACACCCCCCATCCCCCCCACCCCTCCATCCCCCCACACCCCTCCATCCCCCCCCACACCCCTCCATCCCCCCACACCCCTCCATCCCCCCCACACCCCTCCATCCCCCCCACACCCCTCCATCCCCCACACACCCCTCCATCCCCCACACACCCCTCCATCCCCCCCCACCCCTCCATCCCCCACACACCCCTCCATCCCCCCACACCCCTCCATCCCCCCCACACCCCTCCATCCCCCCACACCCCTCCATCCCCCACACACCCCTCCATCCCCCCCACACCCCTCCATCCCCCCCACACCCCTCCATCCCCCCACACCCCTCCATCCCCCCCACACCCCTCCATCCCCCCCACACCCTCCATCCCCCCCACACCCTCCATCCCCCCCACACCCCTCCATCCCCCCCACACCCCTCCATCCCCCCACACCCCTCCATCCCCCCATACCCCTCCATCCCCCCACACCCCTCCATCCCCCCCACCCCTCCATCCCCCCACACACCCCTCCATCCCCCCCACACCCCTCCATCCCCCCACACCCCTCCATCCCCCACACCTCTCCATCCCCCCCTCCACCTCTCCATCCCCCCCTCCACCTCTCCATTCCCCCTCCCTTGCACTGGGTGAGCTTGGGGCCTGCTGGGCACCCCTCCACCCACCCCTCTCCCCCTCCTCCCTCTCCCCCCAGAGCTGAGTTTCTGAGATGGTCAGACTGGTACAATGGGGCTGCAGCCCCTCCCCACCCCATCCCCCACCCCCAGAACCAGGAAAGACTGCATGCAACTCTCTTTAAGTGGTACTGCGCATGTGCGGGCATCGGTGTGCGAGAGAGCTCCCCCCCCCTCTCCTCCACCCCTCCCTACATACCCCTCCTCCCCTGGGTCGCCAGGGAGTCTTAGCAGTGGGTCGGGCCGGGCCGGCTGGCCCCCATGGACTAGGCGTCTCTCTTGCATGATTTTGGTGGTCCTTCCTCCCCTCCCCTGTCCCCCACCCCTACTGGGTCAGCGAGGACTGCAGGTCACCGGTCAAGGTCACAGGCTGGGTGACGGCTGGCGCTGGAGACGGAGAGGGAGCCACCCCGCAGTTCTTGCTTGCCCCCTCTCCCCAGCTCCCTGAACCCCTCCTGTGCTGTGAGACACCCCCCCAGTCCCTTATAATCCCTGCGCCCTTGTCCCCCACCCCCCTCAATCCCGCCAGCCTCCATTTTTTTTGGTTTTGGGTATAAATTGTCACCATAGACCTTGGTAATAAAATCTTTCCCCAATCCCTTGTGTGGTGACATGGTACAGAAGGCAGGAGACAAAGGAGACACCGTCTATTATTACATCTGGGGGGGGGGGAGAGGGGGAGAGGGAGGGGGGAGGCAGGTCAGGGCTGGGGGGGGGTCTTCACAGGTCCGTGGTGTCCAGGCTAGCGTTGGTGAAGGACAGCACCTCCCGCCCTGGGCCCTCGGCGCCCATCTTCCTGTCTGCCAACACCACACTTAGGGGCTCCAGATCTGGCCCCGGTGGGCTGTGGCCAGGCTCCTTCTGGGGGTGGGGAGGGGGAAGGTGTAAATAGGGGTGCTCTTCTCCCAGGCTCCCCGGTTGGGGAGCCCTCTCTGCTCTTCTCCTGGTTGTGTGGCAAAGGTGGCCACAGCTCAGGTGAAGAAGGACCTGGGGTGGGGTGTTTGCTATACCCCAACATTCTGCCTCGTCCCAGGGAAATGTCCAGTCCTGCTATCTGTTGATGGCAGTTTCTGCCCCCCCCACCCCACACACACATAGCAGGCACCACATGGGCACAATACATTACAGAGGACAGCCCTGGCCAGAAAGGGGCAGAGCAGCCTGGCGCCGGTGGCTCACGCCTGTCATCCTAGCTACTCAGGAGGCTGAGATCTGAGGATCGCAGTTCAAAGCCAGCCTGGGCAGGAAAGTCTGTGAGACTCTGATCTCCAATGAATCACGAGAAAACCGGAAGTGGAGCTGTGGCTCAAGTGATTGAGCACTCACCTTGAGCTGAAGAGCTGAGGGTCAGCGCCTAGGCCCTGAGTTCAAGCCCCACGACTGACCAATATATATATATATATATATACACACACACACACACACAAGGGACAGTGCCCAGGGTGTGAGCTTCAGAGACGTTCGACTTCAGCACTAGAAGCAATTCCTTCTGTTTTGGTGGTGGTGGTGGTGAGGCTTGATCTCGGGGCCTGGGCGCTGTCCCTGAGCTCTGTGTACTCAAGGCTGGTGCTCTACCACTTTGAGCCACAGCGCCACTTCTAGTTTCTCGAGAGCTTCTAACATAAGCATCTCACAGGGATTTTGGTTTTCCAGGCTGACTTTGAACCGTGATCCTCAGACCTCAGCCTCCTGGGTAGCGAGGATGACAGCGGGAGGCGGGGAAGGGGGAAGATGTGAGGGCGGAGGAGGCTGAGGGCGTGAGCTGCAGGTGCCTCCGGCTCTGCCCTTCAGAGAGAGCCCCTCCCCCCCCTCCCCCCCTCCCTGCCACCTCTTACCTTGGTGTCCTGACTGTCCCTGTTCACGTCCACAGAGTTCTCGTCCAGGGAATTGAGGCTGAGGGAGAAGTCATGGAGTCACTGCCGTTGTGCCCGCCAGCACCAGCTTCACCACCACACCACCACCATCATCATTACCATCATCAGTATCATCACCATCATCATCATCACTATCATCACCACCACCACCACATCCTCATCACCATCATCACCACCACCACCACATCCTCATCATCAATACCACCACCATCATCACCAACAACCATGATCACCACCATCACCACCACCACACCATCATCATCATCACCATCACCACCACCATCACATCATCATCATCATCAACACCATCGCCATCATCAATACCATCACCATTATCTTCAATACCATCACCATCATCATCAATACCATCACCATCATCTTCAATACCATCACCATCATCAATACCATCACCATCATCTTCAATACCATCACCATCATCAATACCATCACCATCATCTTCAATACCATCACCATCATCATCAACACCATCACCATCACCTTCAATACCATCACCATCATCAATACCATCACCATCATCTTCAATACCATCACCAACACCATCACCATCATCTTCAATACCATCACCATCATCATCAACACCATCACCATCATCTTCAATACCATCACCATCATCTTCAATACCATCACCATCATCAACACCATCACCATCACCTTCAATACCATCACCATCATCAATACCATCACCATCATCTTCAATACCATCACCATCATCTTCAATACCATCACCATCATCATCAACACCATCACCATCATCTTCAATACCATCACCATCAT